ATTGTCGTCTTCATCTTTTTAACCCTATTACCATCTCATCAATATTTTTTGTAGCTCCATAGACTTGACGTGTGAAAATGGGTATTTAGGGTTTTAATATTTAATCGTAGGCTTAATCTATGATTGATGTGATGTTATTCTTATTATTTAGTGTGTTATTATAATAATGTACCTTTCATGAGTTACAAGGAATTAATCTGTACCTGTCTTGTTCAAACTCATCACATGAATTCATTTTTTTTATAATTACAACTTAAGGAGATGATGCTACTGTTCGTTATGGAACCACTTCGTCGAGATTTGTAACTGTTAAATTAATTATATCCGACGATTAGATGATGATCTAACGACCACAAACTCTGATTTAATAGTTCTATTACGAGATCTTAGTATTTTCCTACAACTTAAAAGGGAATATTGTAGTACCAAATTTTATTTTTAGTGCACTAACTTGTCTTTATCTAAAAAAAGATACATCAACTTAGTGTACATCAAGTATTGATTCTTTAATTTGTTAAAAATATAAAAACAAATGTACAACATATTATAAGAGATTATATTTTTTTTTAATTTGTTAATAAAGAAAAAATCATCAATTTAGTCATATTCATAATTTTTCAAGTCAATTGATTTTTTTATTTTTTTGCATTCTTATTTACCAAATTATAGGCCTATTTTTCTGATTTTTAATTTTTTGAATATATATGAGCACCGAGTTGTCCATATTACATAAAATGTATATTTACATGATGATATGCAACTGTATGTAGATAATTTACAATAATTCTACTATGAAGTCAGCAGTTGACTCCACAACAGAATCAACCTTTTATATACAACAAGTAAATCTTATCATATTAATGAAATTATTATTATTTGTTTAAGTAATGAGAGAATACGGTATTTTTTATAGCACGACTGAGATAATTAAATAAAAGAGTTTGTATGACTTTATTTATTTTGGTTTCCAATTTAAGTTTACACTGTCATGTGGCTCCAATTGAGAAGAAATTGGAACGAAGAATGGTACTAAAATATGTAAAAGATGATGAATTGAACAGAACCATGTAGACAAATATGATAAAACATTGAAACATGATGCAGAAAAACTATTCATTTTGTGGTTTGTGGTGTCCCCAAAAAACATTGAAAAAAATACATCCAATGATCTTATCCAGAATTTTTTTTGGGATCACAGCAAATAATCAAATATGACTTGTCTCATTCATATTTACACAGGGAAAATGCCTCAAACAAACATTGTTATTTTTTCCTATTTGTCATTCCCCTTGTTTTTCATATAGCTATATGTATTATATGAATTAATGTGTGTATATATATATATATAATTAATAATAATAATATTACTTCATCACCTTAGAGGGAATAATTTATTATTGTAATCACTAAATATAAACATATACAATTTAATTTTTTATTTTTGTTGACAAATAATAAATGTAACAAACGAGAGAAAACGGGTGCAGTCTCACGCACGTGAAGTACACAATAAACTGGGAAAAATTCAAATTAGTAGAAGGAGGAGTAATTCATTAGACTTATAAATTAGGTCTATTTTCTATATATAAACAATGTGGGTGGCTCTATTTCTATGTATAAACAATGTCGGACAACTTTACAAGAGATATTCTAACAAATCACAAATAAATATTCTAATAATAAGAATTTAATCTCACAATTAGGAAGTAATGTTTTTTTTTCTAGTGAAATTAATTACTAATAGATTCTATTTAAATGCTAAATTAATGTTGTACAAATTTGTACATACATACATAATAAAAAATTTGAGTTATATATAAAAAAAATAATAATAAATTAAAATTTGCTCCTTAATTTCAAAAGATCAAATAGTGTAACAACTGTTGTAAATAGGAAGGAGGGGCAATAATTTACCTGGAAAAAAGATGAAGATAACTGGACTTAATTTAAAAAGCTGATGATTTGTGGGACAGTGAAAATGTCCCTTCGGTTGTCCCATTCTCATTTTAATTAAATTTGATTTTTCATTTCCAATATTAAAACTTTAATATAGAATCTCTTTTGTATTAACACTATTGTGTGGTATTTTTGTCTGAAAATATTCTGCTCAATTTTGAACATAATTTCTTTTCGAATATTTTTAATACAAGACTCGAAAAATAGATAAATTATATAATCGGGGCCTAAAAGTTTTTTTTTCAAAGTCGAGGCCTGAAAGATTTATAAATGTTATAAATAGCTATGTTTACTATTTTCCCATATTTTTTGTTACATTAGTTATATTTTATACCAAATTTTATCTAGTTTGATATGGATTCTGTTATTCATTTACAAAGATTAATATTTATATTTTCCCTAAAATAGAATACTAGTCTCCTGTATTTTAAATAAGTGTTCTTTTTTTCAATTAATGTCATTTTGAGAAGTTGAACAATATTTTTTATTTTTTTTGTTAATATTAACCTTCATTAATGAGGATAGATGTTTTGAAAAAAAAAAAATAACAGTGAATATGAGAAGACTAGATGAGAGTAATAATAGAAAATATGTAAAAAAAAAAATTTCAAACTTCATTTATTTGGTTAATTATTGATAAAGCTCAAATGACGTTTAAAAAAATAGGAGGTAGTATTAAGATTATGTGATAAAATTTACATACAAATTATTTTTATTCTTTTTCATACATATTTATAAGATAAAAAAACTAAAATTTTTAATTTAAAAAAAAAATAACTTATTCTTAATCGTCCAGTCAATTGACTCAGCGTTGATTTGTGGGCTCTTATTTGGCGGGTCGGGTTAAAAACATTATTGTTCAACTCACTAATATTTTAGTACAACCTTAATAAATGAACAGTATTTCTACTAGTGAATTTTCAAGTTAATGAGAATAGAATTGAATATCAAATATTTATATTGACCCCAAAAAAAAAAAAGTTCATGGAATAAAATTGGTGAGATGCTATACGAATCTCGTTACAGAACTATTCTGTCGAGGTTTATAACCTTTAAATCATCGTGTGACCGTTGGGGATAGATGATCTAATGATTACAAACTCCGACGAAATGATTCCGTAACCCGACTATAGCATAAAAAAATAAGTGGTGGAGAGATGAGATGAGTGGGCTGCAGAGAAAAAGAAAAAGGGGGAAAATATGGAAAGAGAGAGAGCATAGACAGTAAGAATAAAAATCTGTTCTTTTATATCAAAGGTTAGGCTTTCAGCAAATTTATTTGATCTAAGCCCCAATTTATCTAGGGTTCTGCCTCTATTTTAAAGCTGTTACATATATTTTTTTTCACCCAATTATTACACTACCAATAAAATCTGTACTTGGGAGGGACCATTATAATATTATTATATTATTGTAAAGTGGTATATATATGATCTTCTTAATTCAAAAAAAAAAAAAAAGTAGCAGAAGATTTTTAGAAAAAAGCTGAGAGTATAATGTGAGAAACTCAAGTTTGTTTAAGCTTTTTTACATCTAATTGATTACACACTGCACTGTGTGTATATAGTGTGTGATATAAATAAATAAATTAATAAATATTTTATTTAAAATTTAAAAAAAAAATAAAATAAAATTGTAGCTATATGAAACTAGCTAGGGTTCTTATTCGAGGGATAGCTTTTCTGAGTAGTATTTTGCTTTAAGTCTTGTCCATCACCACTGCCCTCTCTCTCTCTCTCTCTCTCTCTCTGCCTATTGAAAA